ACCGGTTCTCGGCCTTCGGCAATGGGTGCTTGAGAAGGATCGCTGGTGTGTGGTGGCAACAAGGTTGAGGAACCTGTTTCAGTTGAACATAGCTAAATGCAAGGTGATCCATCTGCGTCACCAGCCGGTGAGCGCTTACAAGCTTGGAGACCACATCTTGGAGGTCTCTCAGGAGCGTGACCTGGGTGTATTTGTACAGGAAAATCTCGGGTGTTCAAAACAAGCAGAGAAGGCGACAAAAATCAGCAATCAACACTTCGGCCTGCTTCGCAGAGCGTTCGGTCGGTTTGAACCCTAAATACTTCCCCAAACACGTAACGCTTACGTGCGACCGCACGTGAAATATGCTATTCAGGCGTGACAACCGTGGCAGAAACAGGATCTCGTGGTTCTCCAGACTCCTCAACAAAGAGCAACCAAGAATGTCAGGGACCTCTTTCATCTGCCCTATCAGCTTAGACTGAAATCTCTAAGAATGTACAGCAGTCGATATCGGCTTTTGCGTGAGGATCTCATAATGGTTTATCAGATTCTGAAGAACCCAAACCGCATTTGCCGTCCGCTGCTGGAATTGAACCACAACACTAACTTAAGAGGTCCTCCTCTAAAACTGAAAATACAATATAGCCGGCTTGAATGCCGCAGAAATTTCTTTTCCTTCCGCGTGTGCCAGCCTTGGAACGCCCTCCTTAATTATGTCGTTTCTGCTCCCAATCTGGCAATACCCAAAGAACGATTTGGTGATACATTGTCTAATTTGCATTTCATTTTATGAATTGTTAGCCAGGGGTTACAAAACGCAATAAAACGGTGTCTTAGCCAACTCACAACCAATGGAGTTATGGATTTGTACTTTTAATACGCGAACATCATCGCTATTCCACATAAGTCTATGGTGAGTCCACCAAAACGCTTTTCACTTTATCATGCAATTTATTTTTCGCAATAATTTCCATCCCACGCGACTCGTTAAGCATTGCTTTTTACCCGTAACACACCAGTATTTCATAATGCCTTAACCATGGAGCATACTCAGTAACTGTGATGTGCCCAAAGTCTCAACATCATCGAACCCATCCAATCTCTGTCCGGAGATAGGACCACCACAAGGCAACTCGTGTGCCAACAAACATACGTCTTCCCTTATATTTTATAGCATTACCACTGTTCAATGGCGTGCAGAATGCCCAGTTTGTTGTTAAACCGAGAAGAAACGTAAGCAGAACACTTAAGGCGTACAAATGGTTTCGATTTCTTCCTCATCAGGCCTAGTACAGAAATATACTTATGAACAAGCAGGTTTGTGGGACAGTATAGTGACACACCATTGATTAGATAAAATTAAACGTAAACAGTTCTCGTGATAAGCGTCAGATGATCAGCTGATTGGCGGCATGTGGGATTGATGGGCGGCAGCAAATTCCTCTCGTGTAGTTGATGGTCATGGAAGTTGCAATGCTTGAATGAGCTACTTTTGGATGAAGAGATTAGGCTTCATCAGTCTTATGCTTACTGCTTCAGCCGTAGCAAAAGTCGCGCTGCTAACTGGTGGGTCAAGTGTGACGATACCTTATACAGGATTCCGAAAGCACTACTTTTGTCAGTATTGTGCCCAGTGGCAATCCGATGGTTAGTAATTGCACTTAGATTAGATCTGTCTCTGCGGTTGGTGAGTGAATTCGGTAGGTGCTCTTTGCTTCGATTTTCTAAGCGCCTGGTCGTACGTCCAATATAGCTAGCTCCACAGGAGCAGGTGAATCGGTATATGACATTTGATAGGAGGCAATCAGGCACTTTGTCTTTGAATCTAGGGACGAAAAATGATTTGCTCGTATAAATCACAGTGACTTCGACTGTCTTGAAGGTTCCCTGCAGGCTTGCATCAATCTTCTTGTACAGATCTCAGCCGCTTTGTCGTCCTTAAAGGGGATCTTAAGGAACAACTGTCTTTTCTCAGCCGTTTACACTGTTGGCTTCGGGTCTTTAGGCCTCATTTGTGTGTCAATAAAGAGTTCTGCTTAACCAATCTCAAGTAGTCTGCACTTGATTCGTTCATCTGCTATCGTGTCTTCGCTACAGATCTTATGCGCACGGTCAGTCAACGTGTGGATCAGTGTACTTTTGCGGCTGTTTTAATGAACTATAAATATGCATTAGTTGAGTTAGTAAAGCACCCTTACTATTGGCCATTCTTCCTTCTGTGGGTCTCGGTGCAGATGTGCAGAGTTACGCGTTTCGTCTGCCTTATCAGTTACGAGTTCACGTCTGCCGGATAAGTCCACTAGCCGTCCCAATACGAATTGTCTAGGCTACTTTACGGGTAGGAAACAACGAGTGAAGAGTTCGTCCGTTCCGACTAAGAGTGTTGAAACCCAACCAGAACTTTTATAACAGTAGGCATGCAGGAGGTCAGGTAGTCGTTGCCGCTACAAACTGATCAAGCGTTCACGAACCAGGGACATAAACCAGGATTGCAAGGGAATGATTTAATTTTGAGGGAACAGAGCATTACCTTGTCACGAACAACGGCGAAGCGGATTGGTTGAAACGGGCGCGCACAGACGAAGCGTGCGCGGTGAAAGACGCAAAAATGGAAAGTAGCCAATGTTAAGCCGTCGAAAGCAGATAGCGTTCTTCATTTATGCGCAGCATGAATGAGTCTGTTGTTCAGATTTTGCTTTGACCGTTGGAGAGAAACATTATACAGTGCTTATAGAAGATTGACAAAACTGAAGCCAAACAAGGCTAGTGACCCTGATGCCTTGTCACTAATAGCTCTGAAACATTGTGTGAATGCATCACCGTCATCAACAGATGTTTAACGACGGGTATCATCCCCAACATCCAGAAAGCAGCCAAGATAACCCCAGTGCCTAGAAAGAAATCACAGAAGTATTGGTCAATAGTGAGTTCTCCGTGCTGTTGCAGATGATTGCGAAACTACTTAGCTCCCCAACTTTCACAAGCGATTGTACAGATGATACGAAATAGTCCTATTATAAGCCAGCGCATTCTGCACTTAATATCGTTTCGCACCTTGTGCATTCCATGCATCGGCTTTAGGTAAAAATGCAAGACCGTACGAGTTCTGCTCTTCGATTATATCAATACCTTTGAGAGCATTGACAGATTTCTAGCATTAAACATTTTGCTCAAAAATGGCGTTCCCATAAGTACGTAATGCAATGCGTGACTACTTTGCAAATGGTGCACAATTCACGCAGCTAGAGGGAAGAAAGTCTCATGCTACAACAATTAATTGAAGTGTTTTGCAAGAATATAGTTCATCCAGTTGCTATTTTCACTCTACGATGAACTTCAGCCCATATCATCCGATTTCATCGGATGAGGACGAGGTCCTAGAGTGTGAAGCCCCAGTAATTGGGGAATATTCGAAACTCCAACGAGAATTAAACGAACTCCTGAGTTTGCCAAGCTCCCGGTCTCGCGCTCTCTTTTAAACCTTCTATGTGATGTGATGCCACGTTGTATTTTCTTAATCCAGACAGACTGTGCATACTTGTAAATGACCAGTCTTCTTTTGCAGTTAATGACGGAAACATCCCTCGTTCAGCCCCATAAAGTATCTCAGTGTTCTTTTGTCTTATAATCTATATCTGTCGACGCATTATAAAACTATTCAAAGTCAGAAGATTATCCTTTTACACCCCCAGGCTCCATATGGATTAAACACACCGTGTCCTTGTTCTAAGATGTATACCTGCACGCATACTCCCTATCTGTTATACTGTTTCTCCTTTATTTTCTACAGACGCCTACCAAAAAAAGTAAGCTCTTGTGCACTCACTAAAAGTTATGTTCAGCCCTAGAAAGCATTTTTGACACATGCTCCTTAAACACAGTCGTATCCAGTAAGGGACTTATTCCGCCCACGCAATTAAAATTCAGAGTTTGATTTGCTTGTGTCTTGTCTTATCGCAACTCTAAATGTCACACCTATTAGTCAAGCGAAATATAATGATGCATCAATTGTGAGACCGTTTGAGTAAAATCGCACCCTGATGTTATGTTATAATGTACTCATATTGTTAGCGAAAATGGGTGAAAATGCTCTTATATTGGTGGCTACAGGTCATGACTTGGCTAGTGTTGTGTAGCCTTTCGGAGACAAAACAGGCGCAGGACTGCCATTAAAATGTATTAAATACGAAATGATTTTTGAGTTGTACAAAATCAGATGTAACAGCCCGTTGCTTATATAGTTTGTGACCGGTTCTACGGTTTGTTGGCTGATGCTCGGTGATCCAAACGCCACTAGCTGGATGATGCTCTGTCCGCGTTGCCGTACGAGCCAATCTCCATGTCCGGAGGATGCTGTGTATTGACATGACACCTGAGAAGGTGTACGCGTGTGGGGTTAACGCTAGGGTCGAGAACGCAGTAACGGGATCGTAACCGAAACGGCGTAAAGACAACGGAGCAAGCGGAACTGATAGCACGCACCATGTATTGTGACAACAATCAAGTACCGCGCATCGATCATGTAAAAAGAAGGCAACAGCAATACGCTGTACCGACGCTGCTTCGCTGCCACGCAACTACCATCAGTTGCGCATGGGCTAAGGATACTGCGAGGGACGCCCGGTCCCCGCGACCTCCGCGTTGCAGGGTGGACGCCTTGTGCTTTCGGTCAAGGGCGGGAAACTGTGTTAATGACTTGGTGAGCAATAGACAGACCATCATGCGCATACGTATGGACAGTCAGTGATGGGGTGTGAACACGTGTTGGAGACGTTGACCTATCCGTCACAACAAGCTAAGCCAACGGTGTGTCGAGGGATCAACCCATGCAATCGTGACTGCTGTCTCACACCATAATACGCTGGGGTCACAGGGAAGGGAACCGCGGTGAATAGCAGAAGTTGGAAGAGGTTGAGATAAGGAACAGAGGGATAATACTGAGAAGAAAAGGCCATTCTGAGAGAGCAAGGTGATAAAACGAACAACTGATTATAAACGTCAAACCGACATAAACTCACTTGTACCAGATTGCTGGTCACCATCGGAAACATTAAAAGAGGGAAGCGCAAAATATTGAACAGTGACAGGGAGACGAATGCTTTTTGAACGTCCAGGATATTTTCCTCCGATACAGAAACGTAAACACCAAAGCTGCTCAGCGCTACCTAAAGTGAGGGTGGCACAAACGAGGGAACGTGAAAAACAGCTTGCACAAGGTCCTTTAGGCTCAATAACGACTAGCAACCGTAAGCAGCTTCGTCAGTCTAGATACAGACGGGGTGCACTTGATGAGACTGATACATGGCATTCACGTAACATTAGTAAAGTTAGAAAGTGAATCGAAAACGAAATGATAGGACAAATGATGAAACCCGTCAGAGATGCCACAACTGCAGTCCACTGTTGGTCGCTGAATAAATGAGTAACATGGGGCATAATGTCGAGGCACAGCAGGCACTATCATTTGGTATAAAATCTCATAGGTTAGGGGTTACAAAAGAAGTGGGAGTGGAAAAGCAGAGGAGAAGAAAACCTACGGAGGAAAAAAATCCGCAATTTATTCAGCGAGGTGTGGAAGGTAAACTATAAGCGCAAGAAAACTCGGATCGTTTTATTCTGGTAATTCCCAAATACATTTGTGTAAGTTGTTGCATTCGGCCAGGCTATCGACAGCGGTCGGGCCCAGCCCATACACAAGTTGGTAAATGGGTGGACACAGCGCGTTTTACCCTGTGGTTTATTCATTCAAACTTCGACGCAGAAAGTGTTCGATGCGTCAATACTCACGACCACCGAGCGTGGATACTGAGCAGTGCCAAAATAGTGGTTATGATATCACACACTGTAAATCACTAATTTGATAGCTGTTTGCAATGCTTCACAATAACTTAAGCTAGGTTGAGTCATAAATACTAAGCACAGTCGTATCATACACAGATCACAGTATTGTCTCATACTGAGGATGAAAGATATCGATGGGTCTACTCCAGGGGCGGGGACCACATGCCATATCTGAATTTGAAAAAAAGTACACCGATGAATCCACCGTTTGCTACTACTCACTTTAAGCCAAACAAATTCGGATCAATAAGATCCTCACCCAGATTTGTCCACCAGTAGCATTTGCAGCAGGCATATCATCTAATATGGTGCAAGAACGTGTGACCAACAAATGGTTGATCTGCGAGGAACCCACAATCACACTCATTAGTCGGACCTGCTGATCACTACACTGAGTCATGCAATCGAGCAAATGTGTAAGTGAAACAACGAACTTGGATAATGATGTGGAAGCCTCGGTGAGTTGATCACGTGCAGTGATACACCAATCCGGATGAGCGAAACGTTTGAGTTCACTAAATGACTGTTCAATGATAGCAAGAACTGGTGTCGTGCGTGCGCAGTCCGACGGCCGGACCCTGTACTTTGAAGGAGCGAAGCACATAGTAAATCAGGTAGCGATGTGTTAGGATACTTTGTAGCATTCGTACAGAAGCGCATGATAATTACATTGTCTACATACTTCGTCCAGAATACTTATTTGCCACACATCAGTGAACAAGCGTAACGTATCCAGAAGCAGATACAACGGTTAATAATGAGTTGCGAAAATAAAAATAAGTTTGCGAGTCTTTGCGTACAAAACTTTATATGACCGTACACTGTAGTTAGGTAGCAATACTCTCACAGGATCCCTAAAACAAAACTCACTAAAAATGGCGCACACGTCCAAAGGAATGAAAACGAGTGAAGATATGTGAACCGGCGTAGGTATTTCATTTCTTCATGGCGCAATCGATTAACTTCCTTGATAAAAGAAGGTTCCCATGCATAGAGTTTGATCATCTGTTTGAAGATACAAATTTAAAAATGAAATAAATTCAGATAAAGGTGGCAAGTTCAAGTTTGTTAACTCGCACTTAGGATTCGCCAACCTGGAGAGTAAAGGGGATAATTTATTCGCCAAAACGAATGGAATGTATATATCGTCAAATATCGAAGGAATAGGCAAAAGCTTTGAAAAACCGTGGAAATCAAAATAGTGGTAAAAAGAAAACGAAACATTTTGTTTGATTTTTATACGCCTATTGTTTTCGGTTACCTTCAATGTTTGAAGCATAAAACAGTGGAATCAAGGTAATTCCGAAGACAGTTATTCCAGTGATTCCGGCATATCAAGCCACTGACAATCATCATGTTTGGGTTCCCAGCCGGCAAGAATTACGGGTTGAACGGCGACTAGACTTGGAATCAGCGAGTTCATCTACAATCTCCAAGTGAAAGAAAGGCATCAGCAGTATGCAGGTACGCAGTGCCTACGCTTCGCTGCCGAGCCACCGCTATCGGTCTTACGTGGGCTAAGGATACTGCGAGGGTCGCCCTATAACTAAGTAAGCTTGAACTCGCGCCGTCAAATTACAAGACAAGCTTGTTACATTTAGGCTACGGGCCGGCGGTCTACAAGTGAAGGCTGAGTAACACACGATCGCTTGGCGTAAGACGTGATCGAATCGAATATTTGGACTACCTAAGAAGCGACTTCTAACAACATCACTGCGAACTCGGTTTTGCTACGAGACACGAGTAATCCTCCCCAAACAAACAATGTTAAAGGCAAAAAGTCGACGCATGTCCTCCAAGCGAATTGGCCAGGACGCACTACCAAACAACAATAAGCGAAGGGACGCAGTGTAAACATGACCTTTTACCCAGATGGAAACATCGAACAGGCATCATATGTGCCTCAGATTGACAAATGCTGATCGGGCTTCAGCGATACGAAGACGAAGTTCTCTTCTAATAATCCCACCTGCAAAAACATGGCTCCCTAGGTCGAAGAAACTATCTACCAGTTCGAGTTGTGCACTTTCGAGAGTGAGCACAGGAAGTAGTGTAGGACGAACCTAGTATAGCAGCTAGCACAAAGAGGTGGTGCAGCGTAATATGTGCCTGAATGTTTCGACAGCTAAAACGGTTCGGAATGAGACGAATACTTTGCGGATAGTCACATCATCATTGACAGCAGTACATCAGCTAATTGGACTGATGCTTCGTGGCCATACAACCAAAAGGGCCTACGGAACGAAGGATAATAAGAGGGAAAGAGAAGGTACTTACCGGAAATCCTTAATTCCTCTAGCAAACAATCAGAGTCAAGGTGCCCAGACCTCGCCAACAACATACCACTACAAACAGCTGCCTATTGTGCAAAGATAAGGCAGCATCGGCGAGACAGCTTCCTTGTGGCTTTCACTGCCCCATGTCATAAGCAGCCACTAGCCCGCAAATAACAGCACCTAACACACTTTAAAAAGGCAGTCTGATTAGGAGACGGTAACACACGTCATTGTTGCCGATTGCGAGCCACAACCCGTAAAGTCTCGAGCCAAGCACGAAGCGGGTCATCTGGACTTCAAGGAAATTCAAGCATCTAAAGGCATCAAGATGAACCATCATCATTATCATAGTACACGTTAGCTAGTGGTAGGAAACACCAGCTATAGTGCCGCAATACATAAAAGAAAAAAATAACATGAAACAGATGTATGCCAGCTGAGCAACCGGCAACGTTCCGGAAAGCTACCAGGCGATTAATATGCAGCAAAAAATACCACGCAAAATTATATTGGGCTGAAGTGAGATTGTGGTTGGAGGGGGAGGCTAAGAGGGATAGGGTGGGACAAAGAAACTCACAGCACGAACGCCACTGAGTTCGGCTTCTAGCCATGTCAGCACGTGCATGCAGCCAAACGTCTTCATCGTCTTTCGGACTCCAACCAGGGAGCCGAGACGCTCCAACCGAGGCCAAGCCCGAAGCGAGGGACTTCATTCCCCTTGACCAAGTCATCGCTTGGCCACCCCTCCTCTTCTTCCATCCACACCCCCGGTGAGCAAGCAACGCACGTCGCGGGAGACCTTGGCCTGAAATGCGCAACACCTGGTAGAGCCATCGGAGCGTGCTGCGAGAAATAACGGTATTCAGCGGTTCGCTTCTACTTCCTGAGCCATAGACAAGGCGTCGACACACGCTCATCACTCACACGGTGTTCCCACCAGATGTGAGCCAAATTGCGAAGGCACCGGTGGTCCAACACAACTAGCCTCTTTATGTCTGTTGATCTAAGGGGCCACGTTCCACAACCGTACAGTGGGGTCGAACGTACCACCGCATTGCATAATCTACCCTTCAGGAAGACAGTGATGTCGCGCCGGCGCCATAGGTGGCACCTCGAGCTTCCGCTATACCGTTTGTGATCTCGTCTTCAATTCCAAAGCCGTTGATAAAACTATCTAGATAGTTGAACCTTTGAACGATTTCTAGCTAAACGCCACCAAGTGTCAGCACAGAAGGCGGTCCCTGCTAACTATGAAGAAACGCTTTGCAGTTCGGGGGTGCAGAACATCGCCCGAAGCGGCTGACAGCCAGTGCTAATCAGTGCAGTTCCGCTTGGCACGTTAGCGAGCCTTCACGGATGACGGCAATATCTTCAGCATAATCCAACCCAAGAAATCGTTCACCTGGGAGCAGCTCCACACCTTCTAAGTGAACGCAGTTTCTATGACTTCGTCAATAGCGAAGTTGAAGAGGAAAGGTGACAGCGGGCATCCTTGTCTCACACCGCTGGAGATATTGAAGGGCGGCGACAGCTTGCCGTAAGCCCTCACTCTGCCCGAGCTACGCGCGTATAATGCTCGGATAATATTTACATATTTCTCGGGCACACCTTTCCTGAGTAGACAGTCCCAAAGTGCACGTCGATCCATTGGATCGAAGGCATCTTTGATGTCGAGAAACACGACAACGGTGGGCCGCCAATATATGTGACGGTGCTCCAACAACTGACGCAAAATGAAGATGTGGTCGATGCAGCCACGACCTCGACGAAACCCGGCTTGCTCTTCACGAATATGGCTTTCACGAGTTCCACTCAGTCTGTGAAGGATTACAGAGGCAAGCAATTTGGAGGCGATGGAGATCAGACTGATTCCTCTATGGTTGCCGCATTCCGATCGTGAGCCTCCTTTGAAGATGGGAACAATAACGGAGCGGCTCCAGTCGGTTGGGACAGTTTCCTGCTCCCACAGTTTCACTAGTAATTCGTGTAAATCATCAACAAGAGCAGGTCCCCGAATTTGAAGAGGGCTGGAGGAAGATCATCTGGTCCCGCGGCTTTATTCAACTTCAACAGTCCGATCTCACGTTCGACTTCTGAGCGAGAGGGCGGATCCAAAGGGACAGCCCACGGAGCAGGGCGATCAGTGGCCGGTGAGGAATCTAACAATTTCGGCCGATTAAATTGCTTTTCAAAATGCTCAGCCCAACGCTCCAAGCGTTTTGACAAGTTGTGGATAGGCTGTCCACTCTCGTCACGTATAGTTTCACTAACACCAGGTCTCCTGCTGCCCGTTTCCCGTATCAGACGGAATAACTTACGATGGTTACCAAGGGCAGCGGCCACTTCCATCTCTGACGCACGATGAGACCACCACGATTCACGGTCTCTCTTCAGGCTAGCATGCAGTTTTGCACTGACGTCATTCAGAGTCTCATTGTGTTCGCTTCCAGACGGAATATGCCGGCGAGCATCGATAAGTTCCAGAGACTGCGAAGAGACCCAATGTCCATGTTGGCGACTAGACACCACGTGAGGATCTGCCTGCTGCTAGTAAGGTTTGGTGAACATGAGACCAGTGAGCTTCAATGTATTCGGTGAGCGTTTACTCAACTCGCATGATAGCGTACTTTGATAGGCATTCGGAACATCAGTCTTCGCCAGTTGGCTGGTGTCAATGCGCTCACAACGTCGTCGCGGGCGTCCGCCAAAACGCACCCACAGATCAGTACATAGAAGTGCATGGTCAGTGTCCACACATGGGCTCCATATCGGGCGAAAACTTTGAACACAGCCTCTCCAGGAATAACTGATCGCGATGTGATCGATTTGCGTCCAAGGCTCGTTCGAAGCTGGTGAGCGCCAAGTCACCCTCTGGCAGGTGCTGTGTCGGAAGTTAGTGCTCGCAAGTAATAATAGGCAAAAATCTTCACACAAATGAAGTAACCGCTCACCGTCATCATTACGGAAGCCTAAACCATGTTGGCCGCCCAGATACAGTTCAGCAGTGGATAATTTTCCACTTTGAGCGTTCAGATCGCAGCAAGCACTGCAGTGTCCGCGTTTCTTCTGTGGCGAAGGAGCTCGTTCAATTGGCGATGGAAGTCGTCTTTTACCGTGTCATCGCTAGTGTTTTTGGGTGCATAGGCGGCAATATCAAATAGACACCTGTTAGTTCCACGCGACTTCGAGGCTTTGAACGAGCCAGCCAATCGGACCGCACACATCCGGCTTCTAATTGAGATTCTATCAACCAGTGTAGCTTCAGTCCAGTGACTTAGGAAAATACAACACCGGCTTGGTCGGTACTCCAAGCTGCATCGTCTCCGGATAGGCGCAGTGAGAAAATGCTGTTGGTGTCACCTAAAGGAGATCGCAGCGCGAGCACAAAGCTCAGGTCTGGCAGGCGCTTCTCCGATAAACAGTAGATATCGATCGAGAGGGTCTCTAATGTTCGGGAAAGTGCTCTCTGTTCACCGATCTGAAGCAATGTGCGAACATTGAGGCATGCCAAAGAAGGAGGATCGGAAGCTCCAGGTGGAAAATGGTGAATTGGGGTGGACCGCTTGCTTTGACAGGGCAGGAATGACGTTCCGCGTTCGCTTGTGAGTTGAAACTGGGAGGTAACCGCTTATCAAAGCTAGGTGGGGGAGGGCCAAGAATTGGGGGTTGAAAACAGGAGGGATAAAAGCGAAATGGGAACGGGACGAAAAGGGTGAAAAATCGTAAGAAGAGGAGTAAGAAGACGGGAAGGCTTGAGCAGTAGCATTCAAGGCCCTATCTACACTGCTCGATGCAGCAGATAGGGCACCGTTGATTATGCTCTGCGGTGGCCAGAGTATCAGGAAATTGTTTGAGGAATGATTAATGATATTGCGTGAGCAGCGTACTGTCAGGTTGTCCAGGCCTAGATAGGAGAACGATTAGGGTTCTCAAGTAAAGCCTTGGGTTCAAAAACCTGGCCGCAAGGCAGCGTGTCTGGCGGTGGGCTACACGGAGTTAGTTTTAAGAATAAGCAACTCGGAGACCCAGGAAACTGAGCTTGTGGTTTCTAGCCATTGACCAATCTGGTATGAGTGGCTCTGGTGTAAATAAGAACCACTCAGCATTACTCAATGGATCTCTGCGGCACGGTAAGGTCCAGCTGAACCGCGGCTTGATTGCGCGGATCGTCATCAAATATGGCGCTATTACCAGCAAAATTCAAGTCGGTAACGCATTCACTCAGTAGAAGCTCTAAGCCAAAATTTTGAAATCCGTATTGAACTCTCGACAGGATGTCTTCTACTGAAAGATCGAAGAGGTATGGAGACATAGGGCAGCGCTGCAGGAAATCGCTACTGACAACGAAGAAAGCTCCCCATAGACCCTTACTCTGTCGGAGATATGAATATATGGTGCACATAGGTTGGAGGCATATTCCTCTGGGATCCCATATTAAGTAAGTAAAAAATAATTCAGTTCGGTCAGCAGTTGAAAACAGTCCGCATGACTAGGTATGGGATGACAGTGAGATTGTGGTAAAGGTAGCGTGTTCGAGAAATTGGAGATGGGTGAAGATTTGATCCACGTATACACGGACGATATCATGATTCACAAATGGAGGACAATCTGCGAGACCGAATGGATGTTAGAGGTTTGGAGACAACCGACATGAGACTAATCCCCCTTGGGTTGATGCATGAAATGCAAGCAACTTGCCTGAATATCGGGGCAAAAGCTAACTCATTCTGTGAGTAAAGCACTTTCTCTTCAATCCAGATTTTGCAGAAGGAATAAATCACGCAGCCATACTCGAAATGCTCCGGAGGAATTTCATCTGAGCTGGCAGCTCTGAATCTTTTCAAGTGCGGAAACTCGAGTCAGACTTACGCATCACTGGGCGGATCAAGTGGGACGAGCTAGGAGGGCAAATGGGTGTATCGCGTGCACAATTGGATAGTGAAGGTATCTTAACCTGCGAATGAAAGTGCTCGGTTCAGTGCTTCAAAGGCTGCTGCTGATTAGTAATCGCAAACCCATGCGCTTCGCAAACAATCTCACTTACACCAGACTTCTGGAGGTCAGTGGACCGAATGAGCTGGAAAAGCATAGCAGATGGTAGCGGTCTTCACTTCCGAGCACACTCAGATCACTAATCCTCACGATCCTTACGCATGCTTTACTTGAGTTGCCCATTGGCAGAGCGACACCGCCTATTCTGCTGAGAATTCTCTGGGACTGTCGAACAGCGCCTGAGAGCGAGTTGCAATATAAGCCTTTAAAGGGCGTCGAACTAAACCGCAGTTTGATTACCCAGAAGTGATCATTGCTTAAAGGTATATAAAGCCAGGGTTGCGGTGGATTGAAACTGAGTGCGCCTATCAATGCAGACTGATAGCTAGCCTGGACCGAGGAAACAGTCAACTTATTCGCATAAATCTTGTGGTGCGCCGTTTTTGTGGGCTGCCTAAAACACATGCAGATTTTCACGAAGACCGGCGCATGATCTGAGTCAATGAAGGTAGACCAAAATAAGCTGCGTCGTTTTACGCTGCTCCGCCACTTGAAACTGATTACAATGTGATCAAGTTAACATCACGTTTGTGCTGACGAATGGGACGTCAAGCTGCAGAAGTTTTCTTCCTATGCCTGAAGTTAGTGCTAGAAAGAAACAGGTGATTGTCTACCGCCGTTACCTGGGTGACTACCGCCAAACGCACGGTGACGAACAAGGTAACGTTCGCATGGTAACAAATGATCGAATAGTGCATTGAAATTCCCAGCAAGGACAACGCAGCTGACTTGATCGCATTGTTCAGGAGCTGATGGTGCTCTCGACGTAGGTCGTCCCTGACCGAGTTACTGCTGCAGTCAGTTGGAATGAACGCAGAGATCATTAACAAGATGCCTCTCTACTCGCCTCGAAACCGAACTGCACACAGGTCGCTGTTAATCACGAACCCGTAAAGCAGTGCGGTCTTCGTCTTGACAGTTAGTGTTATCCTTACGCACAAGCCAAATCCGCCTCTGAGTCACTAGAGAAACTCAAGTGATTTGTGACCCCATACTCACTAGTGGATGTAGCTTGCACAGAGTGCTAGGGTACAGCAGTGAGAATTCGGGAAGGCAGCAGACATCCATGGCGAGAGTCTAAACACTACGCGCTAGATCGGTATGTTGTCTAACCTGTGTCCACACGTTGAGGCACGCCAAACAGAATGAGAATCGGAGACAAATGGCCACTTGCTGAACTCCCTGGATCGCAGTGAAACAGGCATTGGAGGTAGATCCAGGAGCACAGGAGACATGTAACGATTAAGAAGAACAGTTGACAAATGAATGGTTGACGTGTGGTGAGGATGCACAGAGATAAGGAAAGCGAAGTAGATGAGCACAGTTTGAAACAGTCCGTGTTTTATGAGGGGGCGAGAGTCTAGCCGGTTGTCGAAGACGGATTAGGGAATTCCCTTAGAAGACTTCAGCTCGAGCCATTGGTCAAACAGTCAGCCAGTAAGGTAGTGGGGCGAATTCAGGGAATCGAGCCCACAGGGAGCCGGTGACTGATTTGCTCAGTTCATACGCCTTTAGTTTGGTTATTTGCGAAAAAGTAACCCTATCCTCCATATAATTTCAACAGCAGGCTGCTGGAATACAATGGACATCAGTGTGGAAAAAGGCGCAGTGACTTAAGTTAGTGGCAAGTCACACAGAACAAGTCACACTGTCGTTAAACGGGCATACGTGAATTATGTTATAGAGAACGCTTGTCAGACGGAAACCTTCCACGTCCTGGAACATTGATGGGGTTGTCCGGCGAGCCAGTGCAGTAAACACGGAAACTAACAGTTCAGTGCCGCAGAAGGACGTTCGCTCTCAAAGCGTAATCGAGTGGCGTAAATACCAAATTTGGATCGGAAGTAGGAAGTGCGCCACAAGGTGAGTCCCGTGATGGATGCACGGTTGGGGGCAAATAAACTAAAAGTGATTGACCTGGACGTATTGAAATATTGGTAGAAAACCCCAAGAACCATGTCTTAAGTGAAACAGCTTAACAGCAAAAATGCAAGGAGAGGGTGGGTTGCAACGATGACGACACGGAGACCTCACTGGAATGGAACCAGCTAAAAGGATACTGCTCCTCAATGAACTACCTCAAATGAATCAAAAGTTGGGTATGAAATACAGAGGTAAATCCAATTAATTCGCCCAAATAAAAGTGGCCAAATTCGGTTGCAATGATTCACCTGGCCACGATAATGAAAACTAAAGAGAGGGAAACGGTTATACGTAAGAAAAATAAAACGAGGCAATGACTAGAAAAAGCGTAACTTGTAACCAATGGAAAGGTCAAAAGCAAGGGGGAGACCGAATATGCGCGTGCAATTGACCTAGCCAAAGATCCAAGTCCGATAATCACCGGTCACATCCAGTAAAACGAGAAACACCCGGTCAACCAAGAGTGAAAGGCCAGTCTTCATGCTACTTAGCCATAACGTCAGCTGGATATAGTGAAGCATCAGTCAGCCAGGAGCAGAAGTGGACATCAATGCACACCGAGAAAGTAAACGAAATAAGAGCATACTCGATCGACGCAGCGGTTAAACCTCCAGCCTGCTCAAAAGTGAGGTACTCACGCGTATTCCGTTGAGAATCTCGCTGATCACTTTGATCCGGGAGTCAGCCGCTTTGAATTTCTTTTCCTGGCAGAGAAAAGATGAAATGAAACGCTGTTATGAATAAACACTTGCAAGCGTGCACTTCTGCCGGTAAAAAAGGGCAGTGAAGCGAGAAATAATAAGCATTGGCGGATCTATCTAAATGAGAAGTCGAGCGATCCGACGGTTCGTACAGATACCAAGTACAGATTGCTGGTAACAAACATCCCGTTTACCAAGGTTGCTAGCGCAGCAGTCATACGATCTCACGGTGCAGGGGAAGAGACGTAGGTAGCCCAGAAGTGGCTAGAGAATGCAAAAAATGCTGGTAAGGTTCAGCGCCTCACACAAGAAACGCATCGTGATGGATCGTGTTATATGAGGTGTGCTCAAACGAAACCGAACATTTGAAAGGGCGCGCCAACCGGCAGAGGGAGCGCGCTGCGCCCACTGAGGGCATGTGGAGGCTTGGTTAAATAAACTGCCATTTGCCGCATTTCGCTTTGGCTGCTAGTTAGCGAGCTACAGCCGCTGAAGTCAGCAGGTGCGCAAGCTGTTCGTGGGTTTAGTGACTAAGACTATGAAAGAGCTTGGAGAACAACGCGTGTGTGTGTGAAATTTTGCTACAAATTTAGCAAAACTTTTACATAGACATTTCAACTGCTTTGCCAAGCATAGGGGAAGGACCGTATGAGTCATAGGTAGTGCTATAAGTGGTTTAAGTGTTCTGAACACGGCAATCGGTGACGATCCCAAGCCTGGACGACCTTTCACATCAACAGTCGATGACCGTGTCGAGAGAGTTCGTGCATTGAGCCGTGGAAATCTTCATTTAACTGGTTAAGAAATGGCTGACGAAGAGGGCATCAGCGTAGTATCATGCCACCAAAATTTTGGGTGGCAAACTTAAGATGCGTCGTGTCAGTGCCAAATTCATGTCGCGTTTATTGAATGACGATCAGAGACAAAACCGTGTTGAAATCAAAAATGAACTGCTTGCCACTGCCAATGAAAAGTTCCTTAAGTAAATCATACCAGGCGATGAGACTTGGGTTTATGGCCACGATATTGCAATGAAGGTGCAGTAGCCGCAGTGGATGGGGAAAGGGTGTTCTTGTCCAAAAAAGCACGCATGAGTCGCTCGAAGATCAAAGTGGTGTTTGTTGTGTTTTTGACTGCAAAGGCATTGTCCACCAGGAATTTTTACCACGTGGTCAGCTGGTAAACAAGGAAGTTTACCAGGAGATTCTAGCGCGCTTGAAGGTGCTGTGCTCAGGAAGAGACCTGAACAGTGGGAAAACCCAGATTTAGATGTTGTATCATGACAATGCGCCGGCTCACGCATCGCTCCTTGTCCGCAGCTATCTAGCACACTCCCGTTGTGTTCCATTCACCTTATTCTAGGGACCTGGAGCGAGCACTTGTTTCTGTTTCCCAAACTTAAAACCGCGTTAAAAGGACGTCGTTTATAAACCATAGAGGAGATTCGGGACAATGTGACAAGAGACCTGAGCGCCATCACAGAAAGGCGTTCCAGGAAGCTTTCTAAGCATGGAAACACCGTTGGGAACGATGTACTGCCAGTAGTGGGGATATCTTTGAGGGGAAAGTACTAAAATGTTGTGCAACGAGCAATAGAGGTTATAGCAAAATTTCGATTTCTTTTTAAACACATCTCGTAAACGCAAAAGTTGAGAAGGATGAATCGTTAAGTGGGTTTTAAAGTCAGTAAATAGTGCTAGAATAGAAGGGAATGCCACAAAGCAGTGAGTGGGCAGTTATAAGTAAGTGTAGCCCTAAAAGGACTAAAACGGACAGATAAATCATGCGCATGTGCTTTGACCGATACAGCACAGTTTGTATTGTTCTTCGTTAAGTAATAATTTGGGAGACAAAAAAGAATATTCGGTGACAAATAAAGGAAAATGAGGGGTTCGGAGAACTGAGGAACCTTGACTGCTGAAGACTGGAATTCGGGTGAGCGCAGCTGCCCAACTTATTTAGCATAGCAGGCCGATTAGTCGGAAGCATATGGTGCGAAAAATGTGCATCGCAAAAGCAAGTGGTTTCAATGTAAACCAAAGCCGATTTATAGCGACCAATCTTTTGATCTTCTGGATGCTCACCATATTCCGGCTGGGAGAGAACACGACTCGCAAAAACTGGGTAAAAACGCGTGCTGGCCTGCAGAGACCACGAAAGATGGTAGTCTCATCATACACCGGAGATGCATATGGTTGCTGCCATTGGTAAAAATTGTAGGTTATTCTGCCAGAGATGGAAAACGGGGAGTAGGAGACCTCGTGTTAGCGATACTATGTGCGACAAGCGTGGACACCCAATCCACAGGTTGTCAAAACTTGCAGCGTTGGGCCGAACATTTTGAAAAGCAGTTCAATCAACCAAAGTTATCTTCTTTCTTTTCATGCGACCTTCTCCATTAACCGTCACATTGGATTCGTGTCATGCGAAAAAGTCGAACGTGAGAACAGACAGTTGAAAAAAATGCCACAGAAGCAGATAGACTTCCTCTATTCCTCTGCAGATTCGGGAAAGTTGCACATACGGATGATTTGCATGAGTTACTAATGAAGCTGTGGGAGCAGGAAGCTGTCACAACAGACGAGCCGCTACGTCATAGCTCCAATTTTCAAGAGGGGATCAAGACAGAAGTGAGATCATTGGAGAATCATTCTGAAAATAGTTACCTACAGGTTACTTGTCTCTGTCGTCATCCACAGACTGGCCGGCACCCATGGGAGCAAGCCGGGTTTTCATCGAAGTCGACACTGTAATGACTAAATGCTCACATTACCTCAGTGGTAGGAACACCGCCATATTTATTGCCGACCCAAGGCAGCCGTGACAGGTGTCTTCGATTCGGTGGATCGATGTGCCCTTTGGGACTATCCGCTCAGGAAAGGTGTGTCAGATAAATATGCAAATGTCCTAAGAGCAATGTATGCTCGTAGTTCAGGCAAACTGTCGCCGCCATACAATATCTCTAACGGTGTAAGACAAGGCTGCCCATGTCATCGTTCCAGTTTAACTTGGACATCAACGAAGTCATGAAAATCAAGTTCATTGGACACGACCAAAATGTGTGCAGCCACTCCCAGTTAAATGACTTCTTTACTTGAAATACCGCGACGACAATGCTTCTATCTGTGACAGCTCACAAACGTGCCAAGAAAGACTAGAGAAATTAGCACAGACTGTCAACCGTTTCGAGTTATAGTTTGCACACTCGAAATGCAAAGTCTTTCTCCAAGATTGGCAGAAACCGAACTCTACCCTGACCGTTGGTGAAGCTGTCGAGAAATCCAAATATCTGGGCAGCTATATTAGCGCCTAGCGCCGATGAAATCTCGAATCGTATAGCAAATTATCGTGGCACTTTTGCCAATCACCGCTACCAGTGGCACCAGCGTGACATAACTCTCGCCCGGAAGGAAAGCGCTTACAATGCAGTCGTCCGTCAACTCACATGTACAATTGTGAAACGGCTCGTCAGAGCGACAGATCTAAATAGGCAAGCTATGTTCGACCATCGCTGTCTTCGCGGTTTACCCCATTTCTGGTGAGAAAACCGCGGAGCGATAAGCGTGTACGGCATCGAGTATTCGGTGCAGGGAGAGCGAGTGAACTGCTAAGGAGTGTAATTTCTCGCACCAGGCTCTAAAGCTCGGGCACATGTTGCGCATGTGCGACGGGTGTCTGGATGGAAGAAGAGGAGTAGAGGGAAATCCATGACTTAGTCAAATGAAGCCCTTCACTTCGAAGTTGACGTCAGTGGTGCATCCCGAATGTGGGACTGGAGTCCGAAGGACAATGAACACGTTCGGTTGGGTGCGCTAGTTGACATTATGAACATCTGAGCATGTAAGCGTTTATGATCTGTTTTCCTTTGTCCCTACCCCTCCCACTCAGCACCATAAGCCAAACAAATGTCACAATTAAAGCACAATGTGGTAGTAAGCATGATATTACTTGTTTTGGTTTTTATTTTGTATCCTGTATATTTCCTCATGTTTCTTCCTATATGCCTCGTCATATATGTTAATATTTGTTTTGCGGAAAAATACCTGTGTTTCTCATCCATAGCTAACGTGTGATGATGACGATAATGATCAAATGGAATGCATGGAAACGGTTAATAAACAAGAGAAGAACACAATTATCGACACTGACGTTGAACTGGTGGGAACTGGGTCAACGTGAAGCAAAGGAAACGAAAACCGTTCATTCGCAAAAAGGAATAGATCAGCAGCAGTATGCCATAAGAATCATCAAGCGCTACCCTACATTGAGGCTAGCTTGCCGAATAATCTCCACCTGGTGCCAGCTAGCTGATTCGGGTTCATCCCGTTCTAGCAAATAATATGGCGGTATCGCTCCAATGAGGGATAGGTTTCGCCTCGCAAACATTGTCTATAGAATACTACATAAGCACGTTTAACAGCACTCCAACGTGGCGAATGTGACAAGCCACAAGATAAAATCACTGCCTTTCGCTTCACTCTGGTGGAACAGAATCATGCGTACCAGATGTAAAAATCGCGGTGGCTCCGCCACAGTTCGCTCCACAATGAGTGCATGAAACCACTCTTCGAGCCTAGCACGACCACGAGGATCGTGCATCCGTCCCCCGTAGCAACGATTCAGTCTACTGGAGCCAGTAATCGAGGTGGAGGGCGTTAGACAGGTAGGCACCTTGTCAACATGCACATCAAGTGAAGCCACACCAGGGATATAGATCCACAGCCAATCACTTGAAACGACAAGGTGAAATAAAATAAACCGGACAATGCATACAGATACGTCGGTATAACCACTAAATGGGCGTGTAAATTAAATTGTTTACGAACGGATCCGCGATAAGTTCACGAGGTCAGAAAGTATATTTTAAGAAAATATCACAAACGCGAAAATGTTATCAAAGTTAAATACAATTGAGCGATGTGTGCAAGTTAATAGAAGATAGTTCAAGTAGACATTAATGAGGCAATAAAACAAACCCACCACCTGAAATAATGAGACCCAGC